TTGTTTTACTGAAGTTGGAAGTTATTTATTCAGTGTTGAAATAAATGAACTAAAATCAGAATCATTACCACTTTATTCCTCATTATCATTTAACAGTCAGCTGTTAAACTACGTATATTTAAACATAAACACAAGACGACTAGTCGACTATTGGCTTTATCTAACGAGTACTATAGTCGACTAAGAAATTCTTTCTTTGGGGGTTACTCCACCATATTGTTGGTTTCTGGGTGTCTAACGACGCTGTATGGTCTGTACAATACTCAGAGAATAGTAACTGGTGTCAATAGGCAGATTTTTTGCCCTGACATCCCCTAACAGGTTAATTGAAACATGGAGTAGAGCCTTAAGCCAACAAATGTATTGATCCTTTTTTTAAATTTTTATTGACATATACAGCAATTAAGATCTCTGGCTCGTCCCCAGAGGCAGGAGATTGGGAACACCACAGAGACTGAGACGTGTCTGCAGTGGACAACCTGTTCCGTCTGCTTTACCATCAGACGTTAAACACTGCCCTTCCCACCGGTCCTCCACTATTTTATTTTAATTCAACCTTTGATGGGTGTGTCAGCAGGGCGGCCAAAGTTTGGTCTGGTGTTGGCGGTTTGGTGGGGGGCAGTGGGTGGCGTTAGTGGCTGGTTAGGGGGGGTTTCACTGCTTTGATATTCGATCCCCTTCCCTTTTTTGGGGGCCAGTGAGAGAACGGCAGCGCTGGTGGAAGCCGGACTAATTAATTCTGAGATCAATAAGGAGGGATGCAGCTATGTCTCTCTCCAGATGTGGAGGTGGTGCATTGATCGATGCTGGAGGGGGGTCGATACCTTTACCACCCCACTCTCTTCCCACTTTCCCTCCCCAGATGAGACGTTGGCGTAGTCCCACTGCTGCCTTTGATCTCCACCGTGTGACATTCACTCTGGTCTACTCGATGAGTATCGCTTGGAATAACTAATGCTCAGAAACAAACTGTAGTTGTGTGTCAGTTGTTTTCTTGCTTGTTATGAACGGAGCATTTTGTTCTGTCAATGAGGAGATTTTAACGCGTCTCTTTGCAGCCGTTGCATCCAGAAATACATTTGTCAGACTCATCGACTGCCGTGCGGCACGCTCCGAGGCTAGTGGCCGCGAGCGCCTGTTCCACATGAACAATGGCGGCCCGCCTGCTGAATGCTGATTGGGTATAATTGGGGGTTAGTGATGCAGTGTAATTAGAGTGATTACAGTCATCAAATCCCAGCGGAGACTCTTCTCGCTGTCCATCGCGGCCAGTCTGCAACACGTGCTGCAGTTTTTGTAGCTCAGAAGTTCACTCCACTCCGATGTACTTCATTGGGATCGTAAACAACAACCTTTTATTATATTTAGTCCATAAACACAAAGAGTGCAACAAAAGAGCAAAATTAAATTCCTAAATCACCAAAATGAAAAGCACCAGTGAACGTTCTCTCCTGTATGTGGGGATTCTCTGCCTCACAAACACTTTCTTGCTTTAAAAAGCAAACGCAGCCTCAGTGCCTCCTGTGTAATGGAGCTGAACACAAGATATTTTACCCATGATGCTCATCTTCTGGTTGTATGTTGGGTAAAAAACTTTCCTCCAAAACACACACACACACAC